AATATTTGTATAATCAAACATGCAATTCTCTTAATAAAGAATATTGGCAAGGCTGCCAAAGTTTAAAAAAAAAAAAATTAATATTTACTTGATGTGAAAATACATCATCACATATTCCAAATAAATGAACTTATATAAAGATTTAAAATAAATTTTACCCTAATAATAAAATAATAAATAAATATTATTATTTATAATTAAATTTTTATTAATTAAATAAAATAATTTACTTCTTGTTGAGATAAATATGATAATTGAATTTATTGTACATAATCCCATGAAATATAAACTATAATATTTAAAGAATTTGGTTTTCCAGGTTGTATTATATTTTTAATTTCAAAATTTTGAATATCTTTATATGCAATTTTAATACATTGTCTAATAAAATTTTAATAAAAAAAAAATTAATTTTATAATAAAATTAACAAAATTATTTTTTATAAAATTTAAATTTACTTATAATTTTCTCATTCTTCATTTGCCTATTGAATATGTTAATACTATTCTAAAACTTTAATTTTTTTTTTTCAATTGTCCAATAATTAGCATTAAATCTTATATCTTTACATTTTAAACATAAATCACTACATGGAGATAATTTTTTAATTTTTGGTAAAAATTTTTTCTAAATTTTAATAAATGTCATTAAACTAACTCTAAATTGATCATTAGTTTTAGTTGCTTTTAAATATTGTATATGTAAAGATGAATAAGTAGTATCTGCTGGTAAATATATAATTGTAATAGTATTATCTCAAAAACTTTGACCTATAAAATTTTAAATTAATAATTAAAATAATTTTTAATAAAAATATTTTAAAATATTAAATTACCTGAAGATAGTAAACCATTTTGTTTTGCAAAATTTTCTATAAAAGTAATAACTTTTATTACTGTTTCAAAAGATATTGCTCGATTATTAACTTTTCCAGTATTTGAATTAATATATAAATTAATATCATGTTTTACAAAATAATCTCTTAAATTTTTTCATCATATATTTTCAAGTTCATAAATTATTTTAAAAGCATTTAAACAAATTGATTTTTCTTCAAAAGTATATTCTGTAATAAGTTTAGATTTTTTTGAATTTCAAAAATTTCAGGTCATTTAGTAGCAGCAATTATATCTAATAAATATATATCTTGACAAGACTTAGAAAGATTTTTAAAATTTAAATATCTAGTTAAAGCTATAAAATACTCAACTTGAGTTTGTAAACAATTTTTTTCACAACAATCTTTTTCAAAAGATTTTTTAAAATTATTACTTTGTAATAAATTTATATTTTCATCTAATTTTTGATTATCATTATTTTGTTTTTCTAAAGTATCTATTGTTTTATAATATATTGTTTTAAATTTTGAAAGTTCTTCTTCAGTTTATATTTTATTTTCTAAAAGATTATCTTTTATATTTTCAAAATTTTCAGATATTTCAGATAAAGGTAAAGTATTATTTTCTTGAACTGGTAAAATATTATTTTCTTGAACTAAATATTGAAATTACAAATTTGAAAGATCTATTTGTAATTGTGTATTTTTTATATATGTTTCTTTAAAAATATTTTTATTTAATAAAAAAATTGACATTTTTACAAAATAAAATTTAAAAATTTTAACTAATTATAAATTTATTTACATTATATATATATTTATAACTTTTATATTTATATTTATTAATAATAATATAAAACTTCCCTAATTTTTGAATTAAAATACATTAAAATTATAACTAAATAAATTAACTAATTTTATCTAAATTAAAAATTATAATTATTATTTTTTTTTTTTTGAGTTAAAGTCCCTGTCTCTGGGAGTTGATGTTTTTATTCATGTATTTGAACACGGGTGCCTCC